GTGAGGAGTTTCATGGCGGCTCTGTCTGTGAATATGGTGACAGCCAACCTGTTACTGAGCGTCTTCTTTCTGTCAGGTGAGCCGTTTGTTCACTCTCTTTTATTTGACTTCAAAGCTTTAAACTGAAGTAAATATTCCGATGTTGTCCTGACTGAGATCTTGTTTCTGTGACAATATTTTGTCAATCTCATTATGTTAATCATGAAACTGGGTTCACAGGTGCTTTGGCTGCTTGTCCTGAGTCAGCCCTCTTCATTACTGCACCACGGAACATGGAAGCACTGACTGGATCTTGTTTGCAAATCCCATGTAACTTCAATGCTTCACCTGGAAAGCTGTCAGACTATGGAACAAAAATCACCGGAGTGTGGATTAAAAATGATCCCAGATTTGACAACAGTCCAGAAAATGTGATTTTTAATGGTAGCAACACAAATAGCAAATATCCAATGAACATTACTGGAAACCTGAATCAGAGAAACTGCACCACTCTGTTTTCTAGTTTAATCACTAAGTACACAGACAAATACTACTTCAGAATTGAGACCACGCCATTCAGAGCAACAGCTGTTTGTCATCCTCTTAATATAACAGTTAAAGGTAAGAAAGTTTCATTTTAAGTTTAAACCTCATTGTTAAGAATAAACAGTGAAATCAGAACATGTGTAACTTAGTTTTTAACACTTGATAAAGTGACGTCTCACGTACATGTAGAAATATTTAGAGCGCCACCATGAGCTTCACATTTGTGGTTTTGAATGAAACGTCTCGACAGCTATTGGATGAAATGTGGTTCAGACGTTCATGTTCCCCTCAGGATGAACTGGAAGAACTTTACTGAGCTCTTTACTTTGAATCTAGCGCCACCATCAGGTGTTCACTGCTAATTAGCAAATGTTAGCAGGCTAACATAACACCTGCCAAACCTCAGTTGTCATTGCTGCATGTTAGCACGCTGACGTTAGCATTCAGCTCAAAGTGCAGCTTCACAGAGCAGTCGACTCTTATTTCACTGGAAAATGTGTTTGACTTCACACCACAGATTCTCCTACGAGCCCCAGGATTGAGATCTCAGGTGAGCTGAAGGAGGCGGAGTCTGTGACTATAACCTGCTCAGCTTTAACTCCCTGTCCACACTCCCCTCCTAAACTCACCTGGAACCTCCAACAAGACCCTCACAACAAAATAGAGGAAAACACAGATGGAACCTTTACAACTAAAATCCAGGAGACCATCACTCTGTCAGACAAACGTGATGGATACAACATCAACTGTTCTGCCAGGTATCCTGTGGATGAAGGACAACATGTGAAGACAGCAGAGGGGAAAAGGACTCTCAATGTTTCATGTAAGACCAGAGTTTGTAGTTGGATCCTGTCAGACCATGAAGACTCATCAGATGTCAGTTATTTTCCTCTCAAGGATTTCATGTAGGGCCTGATGCTCCTCTTCTCTCTAACATCTTTGTTCCTTTCTCCCCAGATGCCCCCAAGGACACCTCAGCGTCCATCAGTCCCTCAGGTTTGGTGTCAGCAGGTAGCTGGGTGAACCTGACCTGCTCCAGCAGAGCCAACCCTCCTGTCAGCCGCTTCACCTGGTTCAAGAACAGCACAGGTGGAGACATGAGCGTATCTGAAGGAGCCTTTTACACTTTCAATGTCACAGATAAGGGAGTTTATTACTGTGTGGCCACCAATGATGTCGGAAATCAGACGTCACCTGAGATCCATCTGTCTGTTGAAGGTAGGTGAGTCAGTACAGTTACTTCACTGAATCCACTCATGTAAATCTGATCTGCTCTTTCCTCTTTTTCGTCTTCTTCTCTGTTGTTTTACCTCTGACTTTTTCTTTCTCTGTTTGTTATGGCAGCTCCATCAGGAGAGTCTCTACCATGGGGACCGGTTCTTGGAGGAATCGTTGGGATCATCGTTCTCGTCTGTTTGATCGTCTGTTTGATCGTCTGTGTTTGGCGAGTATCACAAATCAAAGCAAAGCTGCACATCCAATAATATCTGCTCCTCATCAGTCCTGACACTTTACTGGCACTTTGTGTATTTGACCTAAAACTCAGTGTGATTCATCTAACAGCCTCTTGTGTCTTCCAGCTGGTTGAAGTCAAAACGTCCAACTGCACGACAGACTCAGGTGGGAAAACACTACACGTCCCTGTGCAGTGATGCATTGTGTGTTTTGAATGTTGTGGGACTGTGATGATGTAATAAGGCGGATCCAGCTGATGGTTCACATCACCACATTTCCTGTTTGACCTTTCCATAGAGTCGAACGGGTGAAGAGCCGGCTGTGGCCGAGTCAACCAGGAAGACAGAAGAAGAAGACGACATCCATTATGGAGAGATCATCTTCTCCAAGCGGAGACCTGAACCGTCCTCGGCCTCCCTGCAGGACAGTGGACAGCAGCAGGACATGGTGTACGCACAGGTCAAAGTGTCCAAGAAAGCAGACAGGTCCACAGAGACAGCTGACGGCCTCGAGGATCTCTACGCTCAAGTGAAGAAGAAATGAGCAGTTTGTTCTGTGTAAAGACAAAGGTCACATCTGAAGAGGATTCATGTTAAATGAGCCTTTGTTTTTTTATATACAGCGTCTTTTGAGTCTAGACATGTAAATGTAATTTTGTCCACTTCCTTTTTTTATTTCAGTTATCAGCTTTTACCATGTAGCTGTGAACAAGGTGCCAGAAGTATCTCTGCTCACACTATCTCTGCTCACACATTTACAGTGCTGGCTATTTTTTAGTACAAGATCATGTTTGAATTTAAATATTTTTAATGTTTTTTATGTATTCTCCCATTTTCTTCTTTCACGTGTTTTAATGACTGAAAAACTAAAGAAAACTAAGATTAAAGATTTTGGTTCTGAATTTCTGTGGAAATGAACTTTCTAAATGAACTGTAATACTCAATCATGCCACAGGGTGGAGCTGTAACATGGAACTAGACAGTAAAAACACTCCACACTGGTTCTGTGCTTACAAAGCCGTGATGTCATGGAGGAAGTCCATCTTTATACAGTCTATAATTAAATCATTGTTCAGTCTGAGCTGTTAAACTTCTATGAAGCTTCTGAAGGTTCATTTGCATCGATAATGTTCATAATAAAATAATAGTAAAACACAACAGTGAAACTATATTTTAAAAGTTGTTATTTAAGAAATGCACTTTGCATCTTCAAAAGGTAAAATATTTTACAAAACTTATACAAGAGGCTGTTAGACTGGATAGTTTATTTATCATGCTAATGATGTAGCATTTCCAGACGGCAGGTTTTTGAGGGCCTCACTGCGACGCAGTAAAATCCCATCTGTCACATTAATGTGCTCGACCTGACCCACTTCCTGTGGCACATATTAGGCAGAAGGTGAGTTCACTCATTAACTGTTACATGAATATACTGTGAACTCTGAATTCTTATGTAGTTGCAGTGTATAGACTGTAGAAACAGGTGAGGGCAGGTAAGTATGTAAGTGTATTTATACTGTTTATATATTCACACAGGTGGCCTCAAAAAAATAAAATAAAAATCTATTTATTCTCCTACATTATTTACTGTAACTGGTTCTAAAGTGATTCTGTATTAATTAAAGAGATGAATGTAAATGTAGTTTCTGAAGAAGAACCATGTTTCTGTTGACAAATCATGTTTTTATTTCTCCCATATGTAACACACCGCAATAATCATATGGCAAAAGAACATAACAGATATAATTGGAAATAAAATGTAAATAAACTTAGTATAATCTGTGACGACATAAAGGCTAAACCGAAAACTTTACAAAGGTGACATTAGAAGCCCAAAATCCTCAATGCAAGAAAATGAAAGGATTTATAAAACGACACCAGGTGCCTCGTCCAAACTCCACACAGGTAACATAAGAATACTCAGTAGATGATATTCTATTGCATCTAGAATTTATGAAATCAAACACACAAAATGCAAAATGCTCTCCAGCTAGAACGACTTCTCATGGCTGAGCGAAGTTTTTATTCAGTACATGAGCGGGATGCAATCCACACAGCAAGACAACGACCCTAAACACACGACTTACTGGATACACACAGGTACAACATGTCTTTCCAAAACACACACAGGAGCCACGTATCAAAATAATCTGCCACGTACAGAAATCTGGAGGCCGGACGTACTCACACAGTCTGTTCAGATCTCAGTCCACATCAGCTGTTACTGTGAGGTGGAGGTGACAGTTAAATTATGACACTTTTATTTATAGTTAATAATAAAAAAAGATAGGAGGAACAGAAAGACACAGTGTGTTAGTTCATTCCTTCACAGTAACACAGAAGTTAGTGCTGCTGTGCCGTGTGATCTGTCCGCGTAAAATACACTACACTCACCTGAACATGAATTAAAACTCAGGATAAATAAACGATTAAACTTGAGAGATCTTTAAACCTTCTCTCTATTCAATTGTTATTGTCTTTAATTCCTCCCGTCATCCCTCCGTCCTCCCTCCCTCCCTCCCTCCCTCCTTTGGTAGCATCGTTCCCCAACAAAAGCCAGTTTTTCTTCCTGTTCTCAAACTCGTCTCTTAAAGACAGAAGTCAGATCCAAACGTTTTTCCTTCCTTATTTCCTCCTCTGCTCCTTTTCTTTCCTCCACCATCCTTAAAGAATAAGTCTGGTGATATTTCAATGTAGTTTTCTTATAGTCAACTAATAAAAAAAAGACAGAAACCAACAGTGTGTTCGTCGTCTCTCAACACGTCTCCTCTGTCTGTGGCTCTCAGCCCATTGGTTCCTACTGAAGATATAAACCTTCAAAAATAAAATAAAAAGTTCACAAATATATATTTTAATTAATAGAGGTTCAGTAATTTCCTCAAACAGCTTCTCACTGTAGCTTTTATCAAACAAACAGGAGGAAATGGTGCATTTGTTGGGGACTACTTTCAGCGGCGGATTAATCCACATTTGGTGCTGTAGTGAGTATTAGTGGCAGCAGGACAGTGTGTGTGACTGAGTCTGAATAAACTACAGTGTGTGTGTCCATGGTGATGAAGGAACTTGTCTCCCGGGGCAACAGTGTGTTTTAATAGTTATTGAACAGTGGAGTTCTGTGGCTCCGAGGAATCAGACACATCAGGTGATACGTGTTAGTTTTGGTCTTTTTATTTTCTATTGACAAATTCAAAAAATCAAATATCACTAGACTTGTTCTTTTGAACTTAATCAGACTGAAATGGTTTGAACTGTATTAATTATTTTACTTCCTCTGTTTAGAAAACTGAAGGATCTTTTCCTGCACTCCTCCGTCGCTTCTTTCCTCCTGTTATAGTAAAAAAAAGAGATGTTTCTAATCTTCCATACCTCCTCTCTTCATGCATCCTTCTTCTGTCATTCTCTCCTCGAGTAAAATGTGACGTAACTTATCGACAGCATGCTGGATTTCTCCCTCCTCCTCCTCCTCTGTTACCTGATATCAGCGCTCTCTGATGTTCACTGTATTCCACCTGTTCTTTTCTGGTGAAGAATCGACATGTTTGGGTGAATCTACATCCCCTTGCCTACGTTTCCCAGAATGCCTTTCAGTAACGCTCCAGAAAACAAGCTTGTCTTGTAGCTGCGTTGCATTCTGGTCTTTTTGATGCTCAATGATTGACACCAAAACTTGACTCTGACTATTGAAGTGTGAATTCTTTCCTCCTTTAAACTATTTGTCCAGTTTTCCACAGGAAGAAGAAACAAACACCAACAAACAACCTGGAAATACAAAGAACATCAGCGACGTCTGATTTTTTAAACGTTAACCCTGCCTGACCTCCATCTCCGCTCCCTCCCTCCGCTCCCTGCTCCCTCCTTCAGTTGCAGCTCTCCACGTAGTTTGCCGGCAGCATGCCGGACTTGCCGGTTCTCTGCACGGTGCCGTACATCCAGCCCTCGTCGATGGGCTGAGCGTTAATGATGACGTCGCCGTCCCTGAACGAGACCTCGTCGTGGTCCTGAGCGGCGTAGTCGTACAGCGCCCGATAGACACGCTGCGAACGACATGAAGAGACAGTTAGACTTTATTTCATCACAGTGCTCCTCGACCTGCTGTGAATCTCTCAGGACACGTTCACAGACATGATATTCAACTCGTCAATCTTCTGATCTTCATCCTCCAGAGGTCAGTTTTCTCACCATGGTGGCTGAGTTGGACGGGGAGGTGACGGATCTGACAGACGACATGCTGGTTTGGTGCATGTAGCCGTGGAACTGCTGCTGCTGCTGCATCTGAACGCCCTGATGGTACGCTCCTGGAAGGACGGGAGCTGGGCGAGAGACACACAAACACAGAGAGAGAGAGAGAGAGAGAGAATAAGTCTGTCTGAAAGGTGTTTCCTGCATCTGGCTGATACGATGAGAAGCCTCCTCTGCTGTGAACACACTGTGAAGTCATGTGATTCAAACTGTTAAAACCACATAAAAACACTCTGTGCTCTTCACACACACTTCAACCTGCAGGAGACTGTGAGCGAGTCAGGTGGATTTGTGGATTAGAGACGAAACAACCACAGACAAGTACGACTTTCACATGTGAGTGTGTCTGTCCATGCCGTTAGCCGTTAGCCTTTAGCTTCCAGCCTTTAGCCTGAATTAGAAAAAAATACCAGGCGTTTCGGTGCTGCTGCGGTCCCAGAGGTCAGAGGTCAGCGAGCTAACAGACTGAGCCTGGCTGTGGGTCAGAGACTGCTGGGAGTGCTGCCTGCTCAGCCGGCGGTCGGCCCGCTCTGGTAGACAGCAGCCACCAGCAGGGGGCAGCACGGGGTGGAGGTAATAACAACAGACAGAGAACGAGGAGAGGAGGGAAAAAGATTGAGAAATAAAAGTGAGTCAACAGGAAGAGAGAGAGTGAAGTTTTTTAATGTGCAAATCACAAATAGATACCTCATCAATATCTCTATCAACTATAGGTTTCTTATTGTAAACAAAACCATGAAAAGATCAAAACCAACTGTGTGTTTGTCTCGGTATAATAATATATAATGTATAAATTCATCTTTAAGGAGCAAACAAACAGGAGGAAATGGTGCATTTGTTGGGGACTACTTTCAGCAGCGGATTAATCCACATTTGGTGCTGTAGTGAGTATTTGTGGCAGCAGGTCGGTGTGTGTGGGAGTGAGTCAATACAAACTACAGTGTGTGTGTGTGTGTGTGTGAGTGTGTGTGTGTGGTGAGTAAATCCTAAAAGTAACAAAAGGGAGATTGTGAATTAAAAATAAAAAAGAAATAAAAGGGACTTCCACACTCGTGTTAATTAAAACAAAGGGCATGAGATTTGTTTAACGTGTAGCCTGAAAACATTACTGCAGGCGTCTTGTTTTAGTAGACAGAGGGGGGTCAGGGGAGCTACCAGACATCCTGCGGAGGCTCTTGGACTGGATGTTGTCCTCCAGAGGGTCAAAGTCAAATATGGAGCCTGGGTCTGTCCTCCACACCTTCAGGTCTTCAAGGAGGAAGGGACAGTCATTTGGGAAAACACCGACTGTGTTTGCACGGACTGAAATCATCCAGCACGTTCAGGGTTCATACCAACCAATAAAATAACACTAAACTGAAACACGTCGCTCCGCAACGTGCAATGATTTTAGTCTCACCTGAGCAGGTATCAGTTCAAATACACATAGTCATTGCGAGGTGAGAGAAACAGATGAAACAGGAAGTACTACACATCATCAAGAACAAAATAAAGTGGAAAACCAGCTGCTGCATGAACAGCTGACGATCTGATGCTGCTTTAAATTTCATCTTTTTACCATCAAATCTTTTTTATTTTGTGTTTTCTGAAGTTTGTTTCCTGTTAATATGCAGCAAACTTCATTTTTGTTGAAGGCTTTTATTGTGAAACATGAAAGTGTTGACAGATTTATTAAGAGCAGATTAACAATATAATTTATATAATAATTTAATATAATAAGTGACACCCACCCCACACACACTGGTCACTGACCTACAATGATGCCTCCTGGTCGTCTGTCCATCTCCATCGACTGGGAGTGGATCCCTTTGCTGTAGCCCGCCTCTCCTATCATCTGATTGGCTCGCTGGTAACGCTCCATGCTGTGGTCGTCCAGTCCCGGCGTGCCGCCTCGACCGCGCGCCCGCTCAAAGTCCTCGTGGTACTTGGCCTGTTGGACCAGAACACACAGATACACATCATTGTCATGACAAGTACAGAGAGTTAATACACACATTAGTGTCACTCTCACACCCACACACACACACACACACACACATAGAGGTCAGGGTGCATTTGGTCAGTGAGCAAATAAAACACACAGGGAGGTTTTTAAAAGTATTTTATTTATTACATACACACACACACACACACACACACACACACACACACACACACACACACACTCCCTGCTCTCTGGTGATGCGTGTTAGTCTCGGTGCGACAGCCCCAACCGCGGTGCCACATCACTCATGTTAGCTCCTCCCACAGCCCGGGTGGGAGCCACAGCAACCTGGCCGCTACCATGGAAACCGAGTCCTGAGACTTCCTGACACGCCTGTACTCGGGTGTGTCCAGCTCGGTGCAGCTCCTCCCCCTCACCTCCTGCAGCCCACGCTGATACTTCACCTGTTTACATGCACACATGACATCACATGTGACATCACACTGAGAAATAAACAGCTGTGTATTGGCTTGTGTGTGTGTGTGTGTGTGCGTGTGTGTCTTGCCGAGCTGATGTTGTCCTGGTTCTGTCGGACTCTCTCCAGCTCGGGCGTCACTCCGATGCTCGTGGCCTTCACTGCGCTCTGCTTGTACTTGACCTGACGGGACGACAGACGATGTTAAAGGCCACTGAAGCTGATCATGTGGTAATTACAAATTTGTAATTACTTTAAATTCTTACATCGTATCAAGCAGAGTGAACCACCAGTTAGTCACTTTTCTGTTTTCTCTGTTAAACTACTGTGAAAGCAACTCAGCACTTCCTGTCTTCGTGTTATTGGTGGGCTTTTAATGTGAAGAATCTACAGGAAGTGGAATTACAGTAACAGGTGGTTCAAACAGGTAACTCTGAACAGAATTTATGATCTTAGTCGCCCTCAGTGTTGACTCTGGATCCCAGCAGGTCAGAGCTGTTGGCAGGAATGATGGGAAAAATGTGACTCATTCAAAAAAACAAACACACACACACAAACACAAACACACACACACACACACACACACACACACACACACACACACACACACACACACACACACACACACACACACACACACACACACACACACACACACACACACACACACACACACACACACACACAAATGCTGCCAACAGTGACCTGGCCTGGTCACCATGACACCAGAGCTGGTTTGAGTGTGTGTGTGTGTGTGTGTGTGTGTGGTCCTGTTCTGTTCTCTGAATGGACGATTGTTCTGCCCAGTCAGCTAATGACACTGCAAAAAACACACACACACACACACACACACACACACACACACACACAACATGACCAAACTAGAATTACCGCCTTGCAGTTTACCTCCATTATCAGTGAGAGTGAATTCTTCAGTTATGGCCAGAAACATGTTTTGTTTAGTCACAGTGACCTTTGACCTTTGACCTTTGAACACCGAATCCTAATCAGTTCATCCTTGAGTCAAAGTGAATGTTTGTGTGTGAAGACATAAAAAACATCCAGAGTTACAGAACCAGATCAACCTGCGTGAGCGTGTGTGTGTGTGTGTGTGTGTGTGTGTGTGTGTGTGTGTGTGTGAGCGTGTGTGTGTGAGCGTGTGTGTGTGTCCTCACTGAGCTGATGTTCTCCTGGTTACGTCGGACTCGCTCCATCTCAGGTGTGTCTATGACGGCGGTGCCGTGACCCACCTCCTCCCTGTACTGCACCTGCACAGAGGAGGAGCAGTGTGTCGTCCTCTCACTGGCTCTAACACACGTCTGACTTCACCACCATCATTTCAAATCATGCAAACGACGTCTAACAAGCCTTTAAAGGGAAATACATGATGTTTTTTTCTGGGATCTTTGTGTCAATACTTTATCTGTGAACACACATCACTGATCTTCCTGGCGTTCTCTCTGGCGAGGACGATCTCTGGCGTCTCTGCGACCGAAGACATCAGACCTCTCATGAGCTTGGAGTCCCAGCTGTATCGCAGCTAGAGGGCGACAGAGAGCTGCGGTCAGACTCCAGTTTCAACCTGGTTCAAGAAGCAGCTCAGATCCACAGGGAGTGAAACAGCAGAATAAAATGTGTCCTCACAGAGCTGATGTGTCTCTGGTTGGCTTTGACTCGCTCCATCTCCGGGGTTTCAGATACCAGACTGTAACTTCCCTTCAGCCGCTCGGCCTCGTCCTTGTACTTCTTCTACAGAGAGAGAGAGAGAGAGGGAGAGAGAGAGAGAGAGAGGGAGAGAGGTTGACATGGAGCTGTTTCAGTTTTCTCACACTTGTTTGGATGTGACGGTGTTTTCTCTCCACACTGACCTGACTGTAGACGTCTCGGAGGTAGGAGGCGTGCAGCAGCTCAGGAGTGTCTGTTACTGTCCCGTAAGAGGTTTCTCTGAGCTGCTCCGTCTGCCTGTACGACCTCTGTAACACACACACACACACACACACACACACACGTGCTCTGTCATCTGCAGGGTGCTTGTTGCTATGGAAACCACGACTGTAAAGAAGCTGTTGTTGTTTTATGACAACTTCTTTCTCATATAATTATTTCACTTGTTTTTTCCTTTCCTGTCTCATTAAGAGAAACTTTAAGTATTTTCATGTACATTTTTATTTTTCATGTTTTCCTAAATACACAGATGTTTTCTTCACTGTATTATTAAAACATCTGTTTCTGCACTCGTGTGTTTTTATTTTCAGAAAATGTGACGTTTGAGTCAAAAACTCTGGAATAAACCTACAGTTTATACATGTGGATCTATAATAATATTAATAATAATGATAATAATAATAATAATAATTATCAATATAGCACTTTTCAAGCTTAAGCACAAAGTTTTATGTAAAAAAGAATAAGAATTAAAATCAAACTGAGAAACTGTAAAAAATACAGAGATGACAGAATAAAATAAAATATAATAAATAAAAAGCTAACTAATAAATAAATAACATAGGTGAAATAATATATAATAATATATAAATATATACATTAACTAATCAAAACACCATGGAAGAGTAATGTAATGAACAAATACATAAATGGTGCACTAGCTTCATTCTCAGCTGATCTCTGGGGCTGGACTGTAAAGGGTTAAAGGTTCTTTCATTTGCTCTGTGGCCGTCAGGTGATTAATTAGACTTAATGAGACACACAGGTACCTGGCTCTGGATCTCTGACGCTCTCTTGGCTCTTTGTATCTCCAGGACGTCGGCGCTCAGCTCCATGCCTTTACCCACGACGTCCCTCTCCATGTCCCTGCGGTACTCCTTCTGCAGACGCCGTCACATGACCGGAGTCAGAGTCTGAACACCTGTGAGATTTACAGGTGTGGCTGTGGTGAGTGAGTTTTACCTGGTTCAGGATCTGATTGGCGTTTTTCACCCTCAGCAGCTCCGGTGTGTCCTCCAGCCCGAGGCCAGATAAGCCACGCCCCTTGACTTCCTGTTCCAGGTCTTTCCTGTACTCCTTCTACAGAGAGAGGAAACAGATGAGTGAGTGAGTGAATTAATTAATTAAGACATTAAAATAACAACATATAGAACAACAACTGTCTTAAATGCTACGTATATATCTGAGCATGTGTGTGTGTGTGTGTGTGTTACCTCACTCAGCAGACTGCTGGCATGGCGTGCTGTCAGGTATCCAGGTGTCTGGTCTACGTCCACCAAGGCTTTCCCCTTCATCTGCTCCTCATAGTCTCTCCTGTACTCTCTCTGAGGGAGGGAGAGAGGGAGAGAGAGAGAGACATTCAGACACAGTAGAGAGAGAGAGAGAGTTTTACCTCGCTTTGCATCTTCTGTGCTTCTTTCGACACTCTGTACGTCTGAGTGTCTCCAAACTCCATCTGAGAACGACCTTTGTTCTTCTCATACTCCTCTCTGTACTTCACCTGAAACAACAAACACGCTGACTCATTTGTTTACAGGTAAACACACACACACACACACACACACACACACACACAGAGCGGGCAGCACTGGTGTGTCACCTGGCTGTGCAGCACTGCGTTCTCCTTGTGGTGGAGCTGTTCAGCCGTGTCCAAAGCGACGTGGTAATGAGCCTTCGTCTGCTCGTACTTCTTCTTGTACTCCACCTGATTACACACACACAGACACACACACACGCACGCACACACGCACGCACGCACACACACACACACACACACACACACACACACACACACACACACAGACACACACGCACACACACGCGCACACACACACGCACACACACACACACACACACACACATTGACACTACAGTACACAGCCACTAAACCAAGTCTGAACATGGAACTGATGGATATTTCACTGGTTCCTACACGTCTTTGTCTGTGACACCTTCATCTTCATCTTCTAAATATGTTTCCTGGAATGAATCTAAATCTATTAATTATATAAATTAATTTTACATGTATGTTTTTTCATTTAGGACAAAGAGATTCTGTAAGTGTTTATATCTAAATGTTGTTTAAATGTTTGCAGCTACCAGCTGGAACGTGCAGAAACTGGACGTTTCAAACCTTCTTCACTTATTTTTAGAAATACATTTGGACTCCTCCGCTCTAAATTTTAGCATGTGGTGTTCAGGTTTTACACACACACACACTGTGTAGGTGGGTGGAGTGTGTGTCCTGTAAAATCAGCTCTTTGTAGCCAGAAGCATGTCAGTAACTTTGACAATAAATCTGATAAATAATCTTGTTTGTGTTTTAATTTTCCTCCTAAACACAAATATGTTGATGAATATTTGTTTTAGTAAAATCATAATTTCTGCAGTTATTGGTCAGCTGAGCTACATCACCATTTTTATTTTTTGAGGATTTAACTGACGCTGCACCAGATTTGACAGCAGCAGTGAAATAGTACATATAAATACATACAGATCCATGTACACGGGCACATGTATGTACAGGAGTGTTTTGTGTTTTTCATGCGAGTCACATGTCGTACGTTGCTCTGCAGCTTGGTGGCGT